AAATAAGGAAACATTAAAAAGAAATTTAAAAAAAAAGAAAAGATAACAGGCAATCTTAGCAAGACTGACAAAGAAAAAGAAAATAGACACAAATTACCAAAATCTACTCAAGAAGAAATAGAAAATCTGGATAGCCCTATAACAAGTTAATAAACTAAATTATTAGTTAAAAATCTTCCCACAAAGAAAGCTCAAGACCAAATGGCTTCAATGGTTATTTGGGAAGTTTCTTTAACAAACTCTTCCATAAAATAGAGGAAGAAGGAACACTTTCAAACTCATTCTTTTAGACTAGTATTATCCTTGATACCAAAGCAAGATGAAGAAGATGAAGATACCAAAGAAAACTACTCAAGAGTATATACATGGGCATCTGGATGGCTCAGTCAGTAGAGCATGTGACTCTTGATTTCAGGGTTGTGGGTTTGAGCCCCATGTTAGGTGCAGAGATTACTTTAAAAAGGAAAGTATGTACACAGAAATCCTTAACAAAATATTAGTAAACCAAATCCAGCAACAAAAAAGGATTATTCTAACCAAGTGGAATTTATCCACAGAATTTAAGGTTAGATTAGAAAAGTATTTGACAAAAATTCAACATTCATGATAAAAACTCTCAACTAGGAATAAAAGGGAACTTCTTTAACCTAGTGAAGGTCATCTACCTATGTAAAAACCTACAGCAAATGTCATATTTAATGGTGAAAGACAGTGATTTTCTCCTAAGACTGAGAATATGGGAAAGCTGTATACATTTGTAATTAGGGTGTATACTTGATGAATACAGTTGTATTCAGCATTATACTTTAACCAGTGCAAGAAAAAGAAATAAGCACCAAGATTGAAAAAAAAACCAACTAAACTGTTTACAGAAAATGTGATAATAAATAATTTGGGTAATAGTGTGACTCAATTTTTGATGTTTGGCTGCTGATAGCTTATAAGCCTCACTACTCCCTCACCCAATTTTATTTTATTTTATTTTTTTATTTTATTTATTTTATTTTATTTATTTTATTTTATTTTCAAATAGTTTATTATCAAGTTGGTTTCCATATAACACCCAGTGCTCATCCCCAAAAGTGCCCTCCTCCATCCCCATCTCCCCGCTCCTGCCCCACACCCATCAGTCCTCAGTTTGTTCTCAGCATTCAAGAGTCTCTCATGGTTTGCCTCTCTCCCTCTCCCCCACCATTTCCCCCCTTCTTTTCCCCCACGGTCCTCTGTTAAGTTCCTCCTAATCCTCCTCTACGTGCAAACATATGATATTTGTCCTTCTCCGTCTGACTTATTTCACTCAGCATAACACCCTCAAGGTCCATCCATGTTGCTACACATGGCCAGATTTCATTCTTTCTCATCGCCATATAGTATTCCATCGTATAGATAAACCACATCTTCTTGATCCATTCGTCAGTTGATGGACACTTAGGCTCTTTCCATGGTTTGGCTATTGTTGAGAGTGCTGCTATGAACATTGGGGTACATGTGCTCCTATGCATCAGCATTCCTATATCCCTTGGGTAATCTCCTAGCAGTGCTATTGCTGGGTCATAGGGGAGTTCTATTGTTAATTTTTTGAGGAACCTCCACACTGTTTTCCAGAGGGGCTGAACCAGTTTACATTCCCACCAACAGTGTAGGAGGGTGCCTGTTTCTCCACATCCTCGCCAGCATGTCGTGTTCTCTGATTTGCTCATTTTAGCCACTCTGACTGGCGTGAGGTGGTGTCTCAGTGTGGTTTTGATTTGTAATTCCCTGATGAGGAGGGATGCTGAGCATCATTTCATGTGTCTGTTGGCCATCTGGATGTCCTCTTTGGAGAAGTGTCTGTTCATATCTTCTGCCCATTTCTTTACTGGGTTGTTTGTTTTTCGGGTGTGGAGTTTGGTGAGTTCTTATAGATTTTGGGTATTAACCTTTTGTCTGATATGTCATTTGCAGTTATCTTTTCCCATTCCGTTGGTTGCCTATTAGTTTTGTGGATTGTTTCCTTTGCCGTGCAGAAGCTTTTAATCTTGATGAGGTCCCAATAGTTTATTTTTGCTCTTGATTCCCTTGCTTTTGGGGATGTGTCAAGTAGGAAGTTGTTGTGGTCCCTCACCCAATTTTAATTGACTTTTCTTTTTAGAATAGTTTTAGGTTCACAGTAAAATTGGCCAGTATGATACAAAGACTTTGCATATACAATAAAACCTTGGCTTGGGAGCATAATTCATTTGGAAACATGCTTGTAATCCAAAGCACTTGTCTATCAAAGCCCATTTCCCCATAAGAAATAATGGAAACTCACATAATTCATTTCACAACTCAAAAATGTTCATATAAAAATGATTACAATATTGTAATAAAGCATAAATGAATAAGGAAAATATAAAATATAAAGAAAAATAAATTAACCTGCGCTTACCTTTGAAAAACTTTGTGGCTGGTGTGAAGGAGATAAGAGGGGAGGATTATTGTGTAGGACAATTTTATTACGAACAGATGTTGACCAAAGTATAGTATTAATAAACTCTTGTCTTTATTTAATGTGTCCGGCAATAAGACAACAGAGAGAAGGGTCTGTCTGCAGGCATCCTGACCTAGGATGAAATAAGACATTCCTAAGCTCACTCTTCTATGGAAAAACAAAGGACTGTCCATAGGTGCTTTGAAGTGACAAAAAAATCCACGAGTGCCAGTTTGGGCACCTTCCAGTGTTCTGAAAAATCGCTGATTTCTGCCAAACACTCAGCCTGAGACTAAGCATCTGAGCATGGGAGATGATCACGCACAATCTCCCAGAGAGCGAGAAAAGAGAGAAGAACCATTGGCTCAGTTGTGATCATGTGACATTCACTGTCAAGGACTAGTACAGCAAGTCATCATTCTTTTATCGAGTTAAAAGTTACTGGAAATGTTTGCTCATCTTGTGGAACATTCGCAGAACAAGTTAATTGCAACCCCCCTCCCCTACACACACACTTAAACATAGCCTCCCCACTAACAACATTTCACTCCAGAGTGGGATACGAGTTACAATTGAGGAACCTACATTGATGCATTATTATCACCCAAAGTCCATATTTTCCCGTAGGGCTCATTCTTGGTGTACATTCTGTAGGTTTGGACAAATGTATGATGACACGTATCCATTGTTGTGGTATCATAAAGAGCATTTTCATTGCCCTAAAAATCTGTTCCACCTATGTATCCCACCCACCAACCCCTGATAACCAGTGATCTTTTTTTTACTGTTTTGATAGTTTTGCCCTTTTCCAGAATGTTATATAATATATAGCTTTTTCAGATTTACATCTTTCACTTAAAAATATGCATTTGAGTGTCCTCCAGTCTCTTTTCATGAATTGATAGCTCATTTCTTTTTAGTGCTAAATAATATTTCATTGTCTGAATATACCAGTTTATTTATCCATTACCTACTGAAGGACATCTTGATTGCTTCCAAGTATTGGCAGTTACAAACCAAGCTGCTATAAACATCTGTGTGCAGGCTTTGGTGTGAACCTAAGTTTTTAGTGCCTTTGGGTAAATACCAGAGAGCACGATTGCTGGATTGTATGGTAAGAATATGTTTTTTTTTGTAAGAAACTGCCAGACTCTTTTCAAAAGTGAGTGTACCATTTTGTGTTCCAAGCAGCAAAGAATTGAGAGTTTCTTTAGCTCTAAATCCTTGCCATCATTTAATGTTGTCAGTGTTCTAGATTTTGGCTATTCTAGTAGTTTTATTTTAAATATTTTATTTTTTATTCTCTCTCCCTCTCTCTTTTTTTTTTTTTTTTTTGAGAGAGAGAGGGCGAGAATGAGTGATGGAGAGGCAGAGGGAGAAAGAGAGTTTGTTAAGCAGGGTCCACACTCAGTGTGGAGCCCTGTGTGGGGCTCCGACTCACTACTTGAGATCATGACCTGAGCTGAAGTCAAGAGTCAGCTGCTTAGCTGCTTAACTGACTGAGCCACCCAGATGCCCCAAGAGATAGATAGATAGATAGATAGATAGATAGATGATAGATAGATAGATAGATAGATAGATAGATAGATAGATAGATTGTTTGTTTTGAGAGAGACAGAGTGAGCAGGGGAGGGGCAGAGAAAGAGGGTTAGAGAGAATCCCAAACAGGTTCAACAGCATGGAGCCCTACAAGGGGCTCAAACTCATGAACCTGGAGATCATAACCTGATCCAAAACCAAGAGACAGTTCTTAGAACTACCCAGGCGCCCCCAAAATATTTTATTTTTAAAAAATGCTTTATTTGGAAAAGAAGACTAGAAAAAAGGACCAAATTTATTACCATCTCTGGGTTATGTAATTAAAGGTGATTTTTGTTCTTCTTAATTTTAAAATTTAGAAAATTAAAAACATGAAAGAATAGTCCTTAAGTAAGACACATAAGTTCCAAATGTTTTTAAAAAAATGTTACTACCTGAGATGGCATTAGTTGTGTTGTGCATAGTGAGGGAGGAAAATGAAAGACATCATGGATATATCATACCAGTGGAAAGGAAAGGGGACCTGTGCACTGACCACCAGGTGGCACTGTAGGCCAAATGCCCATTTGCAGGCTTGCCTGAGGGGTGTAGCAGTACTGAAAGGGTGAGGCTGGGGCAAGGTATAAACTGCAAGGGGTTTTGTTTATTTGAAGAAAGCTTTTCTTGAAAAAGGAAGAAATTAAAGAGGTGGAAGTGAAGAAATTACAGATTTTTAAGGGGAGGTGGATAAAAATGAAGCAGAATGAGAAGAGGCTGGACCCACAGAACCGATATAGAAAAATTAGGTATGTAAAAGGAATGCCTCTTCCTTTGAACCTGCAGTGTGGAAGAGAAGCTAGCTGTGTTGGCATTTTAGATTCAGGAAATCAAGGTTGTGGTGGTATATTGATACTGAGTTCTGAAATCTTAGCGGTTTATGTTCTTTTTATAGAAGAAAAAAATTTTAAATAGATTCTAGCACTTAAAGATAATTTAATATTGAGTTGTTTGTTTGTTTGTTTTAAAACAGCTGTCACAGGAGGTCTTTTTAGAATTAACCTAGGCCTGCGTGGTCTGGTGGCTGGTGGCATAATTGGAGCGTTGCTAGGGTAAGTGTTAATATGATTTGATACTAAATTAACACAACTTTCATTAATGCCTTACTGTTAAAAATTTCATTCATTTCTAAAGAACAAATTTAAATCTGAAAGCCTATAAAAGGCCTTGAGTTTTGTATTGGCTGTTGCTTTGATTGTCAAATTCTAATCCTACCCCAATTGTTGATTTTACTTCCAACTGTCACTGAGTAAAAAATGTTTAGATATCACTAATACCTGAAACTACTTGTAATTTGAACAATAGTATTTACAAGGAGCAGGAAAAAAAAAAGACTAAGAATTAACAAGCGCATTCTGTTACAAATTATTTTTTGTTTGATTTTGTTTGTTTAGTTTAATAAATTAAAAAAATTTTCTTCTCCAGCTTGTGAATTTGAAAAAATTTAACCTACGAAAAAGTTGAACGAATTAGTATATTGAAAACCCATATACTTGGGGCGCCTGGGTGGCTCAGTCGGTTGAGCGTCCAACTTCGGCTCAGGTCATGATTTCACGGTTCATGGGTTCGAGCCCCGTGTCAGGCTCTGTGCTGACAGCTAGCTCAGAGCCTGGAGCCTACTTTGGATTCTGTATCTCCCTCTTTCTCTGACCCTCCCCTGCTCACACATTTTAATGTTTAAGTAAAACAAAAAAAAATTAAAAAAAAAAAAGAAAACCCATATACTCTTCACTTGTGTTCACCAGTTGTTAACATTTTGCCATATTTATTGTATGTCTCTCTGTATATGTATGGAAAGTGTGTAAATTTCTTTTTCCTTCTCCTTTTTTCTTTTGGTTAAACCATTTAAGACCTCCTAATTCTTCACCTCTAAATACATCAGTAGGTATCTCTAAGGATGAAACGAAGAACATTCACCAATGATACCACACTATAATCATCACAGTAAATAATTCAGCATTGATTCAATATAGCTATCTAAGATAGGATCCATATTCAAAAATTTTCAATAATTACAATAATGCCATACATGTATATATTTAACTCCAAATCCAACTGTATATCACATTTATAGTTTTGATTCCTTTAAGCTAGAACAGTTCCACTGCTCTTTTTTCCCCCAGAAAATTTCTCAATTTCTTTTCATTATTCCTTCATGAGTAGATTTAGGTTAAATGTTGTCATTAGAAATATAGGTGAAATTAGTCCTTCTCAGTGTATCACATCAAGAGACATATTGTCATCACCTATTATAAGTGACGTTAATTTTAATTACTTGATGCAATACTTTTCTATTGCTGTGTAACAAATTACCACAGACTTTAGTGGCTGGAAACACTACCCATTATTATATTACAGCTCTGTAGGTCAGAAGTCTGAGGAGGTTCAGATGGGCTCTCTTTGTTCAGGGTTTTACAAGGCCAAAATCAAAGTGTGGATCAGGCAGGCTCTTATTGGAGACTAGAGACAAATCTGCTCCCACACCAATTAGGTTGTTCACAGGATCCTTGTGGCTGTAGGGCTGAAGTTACTGTTCCCTGGCTGGTTGTTAGCCAGACACCAGTGTTTCTAGAGGTGTGCACATTCCCTGCCACGGTGTCCCGTCTATGTTCAGACCAGCAACAGTATGTTAAATCCTTCTCATACTTTGAGTCTCTCTGACTTCTTTCTGCCACCAGAGGAAACTCTCTGCTTTTAAAGGGTTCATCCAGATAATTTCCTTTTTGATTGACTAAAATTCAACTGATTACTAACCTTAATTACATCTATAAAATTTTTCCGTGTAACATAATCATGGACATAATACATTTATAGTTGAGGAATTAGTGCTGGACCATTTGGGGGGCCATTTTAGAATTCTGCCTATCAAATTTAGTATTGACTTAAATTTCTCCACTGAAACGGTCTATTTTTCCTGTTGTGATTAGTAAATAATCTGTGAGGTAAGACTATATGAACAGCCTGTTCTCCAGCTGTCTTTTTACTAGTGGTTTTAATGATCTATTATAATTGTTGCTATCATCAGTTATTACTGATGGTTGTAAAATGATATGTTCTATCTTTTCTTCTGCTTTTATTAGTTGGCATTCACCTGAGTCTCCCTTTGCCTCCACCGACCCTCTCCTTTTTCTATCCCCTTTTTAGGAGGAAGTAATACTAAACTTAGGGGTTCTATTTTATTTTATATTTTTTAATGTTTATGCCGATATGGTGAATTTTTAAAATAATTCAAAAAAGAACCCCTAGGGGTGCCTGGGTGGCTCAGTCAGTTAAGTGTCCGAACTTGGCTCAGGTCATGATCTCGCAGTTTGTGGGTTTGAGCCCCCCATTGGGCTCTATGCTGACAGCTAGCTCAGAGCCTGGAGCCTGCTTCAGATTCTGTGTCTGACCCTCTCTGGCTCACACTGTTTCTCTCTCTCAGAAATAAATAAAAACATTAAAAAAATTTTTTTTTAATTCAGCAAATCGTAATCTATTGCTGATATGATTTTTGTTATATTGTGTTTTGTTTGTTTTTTAGTAAAAAAAATCTACCCTCAACATGGGGCTTGAACTCAGGAACCACCCCAAGATCAAGGGTCACATGCTCTACCAACTGAGCCAGCCAGGCACCACTTGTTATATTATTAATATACCAGCTTGGTTTGAAGGGGAAAATTGTTGAAATTAGCAGCAAAAATAATTTCTTTTTCATTGTCATTAAAAACACATAACGTAAAATTTATCATCCTAGCCATTTTTAAGTGTGTAGTTTAGTTGTGTTGTATGTATACACATTGTAGTACAAAGATCTCTAGAACTTTTTCATCTTTCAAAACTGAACACTCTGTACCCATTAAACATTAATTCTCCCTTCCCCTGTCCTCTAGCCTTTGGCAACCACATTTTTACTTTGCTTCTATGATTTTGACTACTTTATTATTTTTTAACTTTATTTATTTATTTAGAAAGTGAAAGAGAGAGTGTGTGTGTAAGTGGGATAAGGGTAGAGAGAGAGAATCCCAAGGAGGCTCCACATGAAGCCTGGAGCTCGAAATAAGGCTCAAACTCCTGAACCATGAGATCATGAGCTGAGCCGAAATCAAGAGTTGGATGCTCAACTGACTAAGCCACCCTGGCACCCCAATTTTGACTACTTTAGATACTTCATATGAATAGAATCATCTATTATTTGTCCTTTTGTAACTGGCTTAATTTTGCTTAGCATAACATCCTCAAGGGTAATCTATATTGTAGCATGTGAGAGGGAGACACAGAATCTGAAGCAGGCTCCAAGCTCTGAGCTGTCAGCACAGAGCCTGACGTGGGGGTGGAACTCACGAACCCGTGAGATCAGGACCTGAGCCGAAGTCGGACACTTAATTGACTGAGCCACCCAGACACCCCTGGATTCTTTTTAAAGGCTGCATAATACTCCACATTTTCTTTATCCATTTGTCAATGGATGTTTCCACTTAGCTAAAGTAATTTTTCAAATGAGCTTACTTATGTTGTAGCCAGAGGGAATTTAAGTTATCTCAGAGTCAAAAACTTTCTCTTTGAGAACAAAACCCTTTCCTTATTGTAATAATTGTTATCTAAATCAGTTTCTCTATGGGTGACTGTTGACATTGTGGGTGAGACTGTTATGCTAGACTTTTGAATTTTAGGATCTTTTGGTTGTTCTGTCCCCAGAAGCCAGTGGTATCCTTCCTCCAACCAAATATGCCCTCCGCAGTTCCTGCCTCCTGGAGGTTTTGGCACCATTCTTCTTATTAATTTCATTTCTGAGAAATCTTCAATATAAAGCAACTTACTAAAGCTTATCACAAGAATATGTTTTCCCAGTTTATCATTCATGAAAAAACAGACCCAATTTATAGAACTGTTATATTTATACCAGTTAATTTTAGGAAGTTGCAGTGATTGTTTTTCTCTACTGTTTGGAAGACCAGGAAGGAAATTGCCTTCATAATTTTTCTTCATTTGACAAGGACACTTTGTAGAGTTCCTGTGCCTGTCAGGGAACAAGTGGCTCAGTCAGTGTTGCTCCTGCCTTAGCAGACTCTCACGTGGCATGTGGTCTGATGGCTGCTTTTTCCTAAGCTTTCTCTCCACTTCCCCCTCAGCACTCCTGTAGGAAGTCTGTTGATGGCATTTCAGAAGTTCTATGGTGAGACGGTCCAAGAGAGAACACAGAAGGATCGCAAAGCACTCCGTGAACTGAAACTGGAAGAGAGGTAAGGAGCAGGTGAAGGTAAAAGTACCTGACTTTCCTAGCCATTGTGGTGTTCTCTTAACGCAGGTCCTCTAAACTGCCACTCAACTCAAAGAAGAGTTTCTGGGGCAACCAGCTGGCTCCGTCAGTGGCGCATGTGACTCTTGATCTCAGGGTTGTGAGTTTAGGCCCAACGTTGGGTGTAGAGATTACTTTAAAAAAATAAAATAAAATCTCAAAGAAGAGTTTTGTTTTCTTCAACTTGTACCCTACCTGGTTTTTTAATCTTTTTAATGAAGGAATAGAAAAATGAAAGACTCTAATTTTATTTTTAATCTGATGAGGATCATTTTTTAGACACTTTTTTTTTAAGTTAAAATGTAAATCTCCCTTGATTGCACATTTTTTCTCTTTTTCGGTGTTCTTGACTGCATAGGAAATTACCTAAAAGAAATAGACAGCAATGAGTGAGTTTTACTTGGCTTTATTTACAAGGTGATATCCTCTTTTCCACATGCATCTATGAATAATACAGAACATGTTACGTCTCTGCATTCAGAGATTCTGCTTCTCATGTGGATGCACATGAATTAGGTAGTTATAGTTAGTGGCTGTTCATGGGCTGTATGCCGCTCAGGAGGATGAAAACTTCCACCTGTTCCATATGGTCATTCCCTGGGGTACAGTTATCAGACCGATAGTGGACTTTGTGCTAATTCTTGTTAAGATCACCTTATATGCTGCTATCTAGTGCTCCTGGTACAAATGATTCTCACAGTTCAGCTTCCTGCATACTGATTAAAGCTGCTTCTACTTTTGTAGTTGAATAGGTAAGCAGTCTGTTTTTTCCATGTTTACTTAAAACTTCAATTTGTGCTAAACACACATACACACATGGAAATTCTTAATATCTCTAGATCAGTTGTCCAAGAACTTAGGTTCTATAGGAGAAAAAGCATTGATTTTGCAGCCAGTGAAACCTTGAAAACAAAGCCTAAATCCCAGCTAAGCTATTAATTAGTTCTGTGACCTTAGATAGTTTCCTTAACTTCAAGCCCTCAGTTTTCTCCACCATTCTAAGGGCAGAATCATACCACAATGCTCAATATATGTTTCTTTCATTCATTCCTCTTTTCCATAGTAAGAGGATATGTGAGATATATAGTTTTCTAAGTTCTGCAATAAAACATTTAAAGTTATAATGCCAAATAAAATCTGATGTGGAGAGTAAAAAGCATAAAAGCGTTGTTAGCTTATTTTTAGTTCTTTAGGTGTCATAGAAGGTTTTTTATTTTTTATTTTGGGGGGGTTCTGTACAAATGAATTTTATTTTACTTTTATTTTATTTTTAATACAATTTATTGTCAAATTTTTGTATATTTTGTATTGTCAAAGTTTCCATACAACACTCAGTGCTCATCCCAACAAGTGTCCTCCTCAATGCCCACCACCCACTTTCCCCTCTCCCTCACCCCCATCAACCCTCAGTTTGTTCTCTCTATTTAAGAGTCTCTTACATTTTGCCTCCCTCCCTCTCTGTAACTATTTTTCCCCCTTCCCCTCTCCCATGGTCTTCTGTTAAGTTTCTCAAGATCCACATATGAGTGAGAACATATGGTATCTATCCTTCTCTGCCTGACTTATTTCATTTAGCATAACACCATAGAGTTCCATCCATGTTGCTACACATGGCCAGATTTCATTTTTTTTCATTGCCATGTAGTATTCCATTCTATGTATCCATTCTATGTATAAACCACAACTTCTTGATCCATTCATCAGTTGATGGATACTTAGGCTCTTTCCATGATTTGGCTGTTGTTGAAAGTGCCGCTCTGCTAGGAATTTACCCAAGGGATACAGGAGTGCTGATGCATAGGAGCACATGTACCCCAATGTTCATAGCAGCACTCTCCACAATAGCTAAAACATGGAAAGAGCCTAAGTGTCCATCCACGGATGGATGGATCAAGAAGATGTGGTTTATCTATACCATGGAATACTACATGGCAATGAGAAAGAATGAAATCTGGCCATGTGTAGCAGCATGGATGGACCTTGAAGGTGTTATGCTGAGCGAAATAAGTCAGGCAGAGAAGGACAAATATCATATGTTTGCACGTATAGGAGGATTAGGAGGAACTTAATGGAGGACCATGGGGGAGAAGAAGGGGGGAAATGGTGGGGGAAAGGGAGAGAGGCAAATCATGAGAGACTCTTGAATGCTGAGAAACAAACTGAGGACTGATGGATGTGGGGGGGAGGGGGAAGATGGGCATGGAGGAGGGCACTTGTGGGGATGAGCACTGGGTGTTACATGGAAAGCAACTTGACAATAAACTATTAAAAAGAAAAAAAAGACACACACCAAAAAGAAAGTGCTGCTATGAACATTGGGGTACATGTTCCCTTATGCATCAGCACTCCTGTATCCCTCAGGTAAATTCCTAGCAGTGCTATTGTTGGGTCATAGGATAGTTCTATTTTTAATTTTTTGAGGAAACTCCCCACTGTTTTCCAGAGCAGCTGCACCAGTTTGCATTCCCACCAACAGTGCAAGAGGGTTCCCATTTCTCCGCATCCTCACCAGCATCTGTAGTCTCCTGATTTGTTCATTTTAGCCACTCTGAGCGGCATGAGGTGGTACCTCGGTGTGGTTTTGATTTATATTTCCCTGATGATCAGTGACATTGAGCATTGTTTCATGTGTCTGCTGGCCATCTGTATGTCTTCTTTGGAGAAGTGTCTATTCATGTCTTCTGCCCATTTTTTCACTGGATTATTTGTTTTTTGGGTGTGGAGTTTGGTGAGTTTCTTACTGATTTTAGATACCAGCCCTTTATTTGATATGTCATTTGCAACTATTTTTTTCCCATTCTGTCAGTTGCCTTTTAGTTTTGTTGATGAAGCTTTTTTTTTTTTTTTATGGTTATTTACTTTTAAGAGAGAGACAGACAGAGTATGAGTGGGGGAGGGCCAGAGAAAGCGGGAGACCCAGAATCTGAAGCAGGCTCCAGGCTCCGAGCTGTCAGCACAGTGCCTGATGCAGGCGTCAAACCCACGAACTGTGAGATCATGAGCTGAGCCAAAGTTGGACCCTTAACTGACTGAGCCACAGTGCCCCAGAAGCTTTTTTTTTTTTTTTAAAGGAAACTTGGAGAAAGAAAGTAGAAATGTAAGGAAAGTATATTGGTATTTGAATTTGATATAGAAAGTTACAGAAGAATTAACATTTGGAAAAATATGAACAGATAATAATTGTATTTCAGTAAAAAAGGGAAATCAGAAAAATAACTAGAGCAGTTGATTAGTTATTTAGAGATGGAAAAATCTCAAAAATGTCTAAAAGCAATAACTTTAATTGAATTACAGTAATGTAAGAATACTTCAGCAAAAGGAAATAGTGTCAAAAATTTATGCGCGCGTGTGCGTGTGTGACTCCTGAGAAGAGTTAATTTAATAAATAGTTAATAATAGTTGAGAACTTATATGCCTGCTTCTTTGCTTGAAAATAATTATAGAGAAGTTAAAGTAAGAACATAAAACATTGCCTTAGTGAATTGAAAATGTAGAAACCTGCTCGGGGCACCTGGGTGCCTCAGTCGGTTAAGTATCTGATTTCAGTAAGGTCATGATCTCAGAGTTTGTGAGTTCGAACCCTGTGTTGGACTCTCTGCTGTCAGCTCAGAGCCTGGAGCTTTCTGCAGAGTCTATGTCTCCCTCTGTCTCTGTGCCCCTTCCCTGCTCATGCTGTGTCTCTCTTTTTCAAAAATAAAAAAATAAACTTTTTAAAAATTTAGAAAAAAAATAGAAAATTGGCTGTAGAGATATGGAAGAAGAAATGATTAAACTTTGTTGTGAAGAGTTGAGAAGAAAGTCATAGATGGTAATTACTTCAAGGAAGACACTAATACTAGATTTAGAAAAAGAACTGATCTGTTATTTGGAAATTAGATTTTAATTCCTTGTAAATATGCATCTATAGTGTTGTCCCATCTGACTTTTCCATCTTGAGTTTACCATTGTTATAGCCTTTGTGCAGTTCCCACAAGGTCTGGCAACAGAGAGTTCATGGAGTGGCAGGGCACTCACATCCCCCCCAGCGCTGAGGGCAACGGGACAGCCAGGTTGCAGTGCTCACACTTCAGCTCAGGGTGCTTCAGCTCCTGCATGATACCCCTGCATGAACTCTGGAATATCGTAGGGATCAGAGCTGCCGCCACAGCAGTATCCATTTTGGTGATGTGAGAATCGTAGTCAGCATGTGAGTGGAACAGGTTAGGAGAGCAAAGAAGGTCCAATATTCCCTCGTAAGTCACAGGGAATATAAGACAAATACTATCTTAAAAAAATCAGGGCACCTGGGATGCTCAGTTGGTTGACCATCCAGCTCTTGATTTTGACTCAGGTCATGCATGTCCCAAGATTGTGGGATTGAGCCCTGTGTTGGGCTCCATGCTGAGTGTGGAGCCTACCTGAGATTCTCTCTCTCTTCCTCTGCCCCTTCCCCAGCTCGCACATGCACTTGCTCTCTCTCTAAAAGAAAAATAAGCTAAAATAAAAATCTGTCTAAGAACTAAATGGAGCAGTACTTGATATATCCTTTTCATTCTTTTATTACAGTAAAGCCAGACTGCAATTTACTGAACTCCTCCCTGAAGAAATTGAAAGTAGCTTACAGAAAAATCGATCCAAAGATGATGTTAAGAAAATCGAAGCACTACTAAATCTTCCTAGAAACCCTTCATCAACAACTAAACAAGACAAAGACTGAAAATGTTCTGGACTTAAAATTCATTGGCAAATTGAAGGGATCTATGTTACCCTGTCCATTGAATGCCAAAGGCTAGGCTTCTCCTTGGTCAGCCTGCTGACAGATACAAGTGCTGGCACCTCTAGTGGCAGTGACTTGCTCTCTTTGTTTTAACCAAGAATTGGGTAATTGTATGCTCACTTTACTTATCCTTAAATTTAAATGCATAGTCTTTCTGATTGGTCTGTATGTTTGACATTATATCTGTATTGATCAATCAATACATATTTCTTTTCCCTGAATTTTACAATAGTAAATTAAAAATCCCAAGATTGGAGTTGAAATCTGTAGGTTGTATGTTTATTCTTGCAGCCTTTTATTTATTTAAAAAAATTTTTTTTCAATGTTTTTATTTATTTTTGGGAGAGAGAGAGAGAGACACATGAGCAGGGGAGGGTTAGAGAGAGAGACACAGAATCCAGAGACAGGCTCCAGGCTCTGAACTAGATGGCAGCACAGAGCCCTATGCGGGGCTCAAACCCACGAACTGCAAGATCATGACCTGAGCCAAAGTCGGACGCCCAACCAACTGAGCCACCCAGGCTCTCCTCTTGTAGCCTTTTAAAAGGATACTCAATCATTAGAAGGAGGTGGTTTCACTAGGTAAGACAAATGGGTCTGTGATGAGGCCTTTGTGGCTTTGGATCCTAGAAAATTGTGGGCCTAAGTGTGTAGTAGGGTTTGGTTTTGTTTTAATAAAAAAGATAATTCCTATGGCATTTGAAATAAAATATAAATTTAACAAAATGAAGTAGATAAGCATTATTTTAAAAAAGCAGCACATCTTTTTTTCCCTCATGGTGTTGCCGTCAAAGTGTCTGTACTATAATATGCAGAACATTCTTAGCATAGATACGCAGTCTCTACAGGAGCTTACTCCATAAGAAGGAGGCTGTCACATAGATTGAAATGTTTCCTAAGTGAGGGGGAAAAAACATCTAGTGCTTTATTTTGGTGTTGGACTTCTTTGTTTTTAGTTCCTGCCCTGAAAATAACCATTTTCAGGAGCCAGGTTTGTGTAGCCACGTGATGTAGTGGCTGAAATTGTGGGCTCTGGAGGCAGATCACTGGCTTGGCATGCCAGTCATATGGTTTTGTAGCCATGTGACCAAAGCAAAGCCATTTGACTTTAAGTCTCAGTCCGCCCCCCCCCCCATCAAATGAAACAGTATCCACATCAGAATGGGTATTAAGTGAAATGATGCATATAGAGCATAACACAATGCCCTATTTCATTGATAGAAAATCAAATAGTAGTAGTTTTAAGGATAGAATGACCTGTGTGCAAGCATATTTTTACCACAATTTACATGTTCTCACCATGCTCCATAAAACCTGTTTTTCTTAATTATCCCATTCATAAATTGCTGACAAATTGACAGTCAATCTCTTTATTGCTTTATTCATATACGCATATAGATTAAATTCTCCCAACTAGAAATTATAAAACTAGGTGGTTGGTTTTAAAAATAATTTTATTAATATTACAAAAGTATCAGAATAAAGGTACAATACAACTTTTTGAAAAAAACTATACTGACACATTTATCAAATGTAATAAGTAATTTAATATAACTTATTTTAAATATAAATAACCTCTCTTAGGTGTCCCCTGTTTTGAGGTCTCCTTTTGATCATGTCTAAGAATTATTAATCTTAACTAAATGCAGCAACTCCCTTCTTTTGTTTCTTTGCTTAAAGTTCTTGTCAGTCTCCCGCTTTTATTTTCTTCTGTGATTTTGTTCTGAGAGCAATCATTTAAAAGTATATTTCTGTTTCTTAGACTGTATAGCATAATCTGGTCCCTTTATAGCTACCAAAATTAAATGTTTTAAATCTAGCTATATTTGAGATACTTGGTCAACTTGCTATCCAACTTCATATTTTCAAATGAGAATATCTTATTCCTCCAGCTTACATTAAGATCACCTCCTAGTCCACTGAGTGGTGGAAGGCAACTTCAGAGAAAGGGGACTCATGAGTAAGTAACACAGGAATAGCAATTTGCCACTTCATTCTTTTCAATTCTCTGCTGATGTTAGAAGGATCAGAAATACCAAGGAGGAAAAGCCACTTTAGTGATCTGAGGAAGCCCTATGGAATGCTATTTTCATTACCTCAATCAATTTCTAAAGATAGCTTACTGTTTAGTAATACACAATAAAAAACCTACCTCATTTTAAATGAGAACTTTCTCATAAATATTTTATAAAAGAGGTTAAACAACATGAAGCCATTTAAGGAGATTATCAGTCCAATATGAACCAGTAGGATGTGACTATCCCTCTCCAACATGGCTGTTGTTTTGAAGTCTGTAAGTCATTCATCTTACATTTGAGAGGATATTAGTTTTGGATAGCTTTCTCCAGAACCTGATCGAGAAGTGGGAAAGCAACAGGAGAGCACAATGAAAAATGAAATACTGGCTACACATCAACAATGTTTCCATCATCCTCATATTGGTATACATACCAGCACACTGCCCACACATTAGCATCAGATTGCTTTTTACAACATAAAGTCTTCCAGTGTTGCATCAAATCAAGTCTGTAAAGTTGACCTGACATTGGACAAATTCTTTTTCCAGAAGCATTTTGGCTGGTGTGTGTGTGTATATATACACCAATTAATAGCACAGACCCAGACTAATGATGGAAAAGAGCACCAGAGACAGGAAATCTGGTTCTGGCTCTGGCCTTGATCATTCAGGTCACCTCCTGAGCCTTGATGTCCTTGTCGTTAACAAGTATTTTCCCATGTCTCTTCCAGGCCTCTTCCAGGCCTAAGCAATTCTGTGTTTCTAAATTCTTTGACCAAGCTTACCAGAGCTACTAATGTTCCCTCTGAATCCCACTAGTCACTTTCTGCAGAGCCACTGAAATGAAGAGGCTCCTAGAAAACATACATGAAGTACAAGGTGGGGTAATCCTGGCCATCTGAGGAACTTCAAAGAAGAGGTCAATCTAAGATGGAGATGGGACCTGAGGAAATAAACAAATAAATAAGTACTTTAAACCCTAAATTCCCAAAGGAAAAAAGCATTTTAAATTTTATATTTTTTATCAGATAGGTGCTCCCAAATTAGGGGGCCATTGTAAATATTAACCTTGATGGCTAAAGAATATAAAGAGAAGTCTGAATCATGGGAGAATTTAGGACAAGTCTGACAACTTTTATTATATGAAATATCAGGCAAATGTTAAGCACCAGCTATCAAACAACCAAATGTTATTGATTAAGGCAATACTCTTATCCCTATGAGGCAAACAGATGTATCAGGCATGGTTGGTCTCAATAAGCCTACAATTTAGCAAAGAATATAAGACACAACACGTGAAAATAAACCCAGGATGGAATGTGATGTGCTAGAGGTAGCATAGCTACAGCAGTTCAAAGGCGTTGTTGCTTGAATTGGACAAGATGGCAGTGTAGAAGACTGGACCCATGGCATGGCTTCAGTATGAGGTATCAGCCAGCTGAGCAGAAGACTGTTAATAAGGAAAGTTAGGGAAGCTCTAGGTAATCACAGAACTGAGGGGACATCCTGGACAGGGCATCCTAAAGACGTTTAAAGAAAACAGGATAGGAAACTGAGAGACTGTTGTGGGGGAAATGTGTATAGGCTGCTATGGTGTGAAAGGAACCTGAGCTTAATGCCTAGTTTGAGTTATGGCTTTGATCCTTGCCTGTCTGACATTGGGCAAATCACTCAGCCCCTGGGAGGGTGCGTCAGGTTTCTTTCCTATAAAGGAACTTGCTCATAGAGATTTTTACAAGACTAAAATGAAATAAAGCTTTTGTAAAACATAACCCACTATATAAATCTCAGGTGTTATATTTCATTTCCTTTTGTTTTGTAAAGGTAACTCCATAGACTCTCATTTCTTTTTTTTACCCCTGTGAAAGCATCTTTATTTCTTCAATGATAGTAACACTATAGAAAGTTACATTCATACTAATAGCCCAAAGGCACCAACCTATTTCAGGGAGGTTCATACATTACATAGATGAGATTCAATGAATTGATAGGCCTCCTCACTAGCTTACAACTATTCACCTTCATCTTTCCCTATGCCTACCCAAATTTTGATTTCTTTTTTTAAAAATTTTTTAATGTTTTATTTATTTCTGAGAAAGAGAGAGAGAGACAGTGTGAGCAGGGGAGGGTCAGAGAGAGAGGGAGATGCAGAATCTGAAACAGGCTCCAGCCTCTGAGCTAGCTGTCAGCACAGAGCCCGACACAGGGCTCGAACCCATGAACTGTGAGATCATGACCTGAGCTGAAGTCGGAGGCTTAAACGACTGAGCCAACCAGGTGCCCCCAAGTTTTGATTTCTTCAGAGAATTTTAAATCCCAGATAGCACATCATTTTACGTGCAGATACTTGAATATGTACATATCTCGTAGAGATGATGTTTATGTTAGCATAACTATAGCATTATCATATCTAACAAGATTAGTAAATAATTCATTAACATCTAACATACAGATGGTGTTCACTTTTCTCCAATTATCTAAAAAATGTATTTAAAAAAATTTTTTTAATGTTTTATTTCTGAGAAAGAGAAAAACAGCGTGAGTAGAGGAGGGTCAGAGAGAGAGGGAGACACAGAATCTGAAGTAGGCTCCAGGCTCTGAGCTAGCTGTCAGCACAGAGCCTGACACGGGGCTCAAACACATGAACCATGAGATCATGACCTGAGCCAAAGTTGGATGCTTAACCGACTGAGCCACCCAGGTGCCCCTAAAAAGTGTATTTTTGTAATTGGCTTGTTTGAATCACAGAATAAACAAGAAACAAATGTTACTTTTCATTCATATATCTCTTAGGTTTCTTTTTATCTGTAAGACTCATTTCTATGCCATTTATTTATTGAAGAAATTGGGTCACTTGTCTTATAATTTCTCACATCCTGGATTTGGCTGACTCTGTCTTCATGGTGTCCTCAACATGTTTCTTTATCTGCCATATTTCCTGCAAGTTCACAGTTAATGACTCAGCAGAGAGACTCTCATAGCTTAGGCTTTTTCACCCTAACTTCATAAGTCAAAACAACACTGTTTATGGAGGCTATCAGCCACCTTGGATCTGGTATCAGTCTCGTGGATTCTGATGTTTCTTTTACATGAAAAGAACTGGGTAGTTTAGGAAAACACAAAATTGATGTAAGTTAATACTGTGACTCAAAAAAAAAAAAAAAAAAAGCTGATGCTGTGTGCTTCCTTAACAGAAAGAATATTTCAGATCCCAGATAGTAATTTTCCCATTGTATGTAGAATTAGACCATATCTAACGTCCTGGACTCCCATTTGTTGACATCTAGTGTATTCACATGAAGCTTCTGGAAACTACTATGTGGAGAACAGTTGAAAGAACTGAATGTTTATAGTAAAGAGATCAACTGAAATGTGGAAAGTTAAAAGTCTTGAAACTTTTCCTGTAAGCATTGGGGATCTCTTCTGACTTTGTAAGTGGGAAAATGACATGGAGAAGTGATTATGAGATTTAGCTCTGTTACTGGGTTAGTAGGATGGCTCTATAAGAGGCAGAGAGTCCAATGAGGATGTTACTGAGGTGGTACAGGTCACCAGTAAGTGACCCCCAATTAGTGTTTTGTAGGTAATGAAAGACACTGAGCTGACTGACAAGAGGGAGACATTTCAACATGGCAGAATAGCATAGCAAAGAAAGAAGTTACAATAAGCAACTCATATGTAAGGAGAAAGAGATGCTGATCATCTGTTTAGAGTAACCTGAACTATGTTTTTAAGGTGTGGTCATAGGGGAAAGAGCTTAAATCTGGTGCTGAGAGGAAGAAAGCAGTGTGCCTCATAATCCATTTATTTCATATATTCCACCCTGGTAGAGAAGAGCTAAAGGGGCTACCTCCAGATGCTCTGCTCATACAATGCTTCTGCAGAGCCTATGTAGACAGGTGGGATCTTTTCCATTTCCATGCTCTCCCCATTTCTCTTTGTCTCCGTCTTTCAGCAGGTCCTTGAAAAGAAGCACAAACAATAAAGATTTAGATAGGTGTGTTTCCTGTAAATGGTGCCCATATATCTCAGCAAGCCTTTGCTGGCTAAGAACTGGATCAGTGGTTCTTAAACCAGGGAGATTGTTAACCCCCTCCCCCCGGGACATTTGTAATGTAATAGGGACAGTTTTGGTTGTCACAACTGGGGCAGGAGTGCAACTGGCATATAGTGAGTAGAGCCTAGAGATACTGCTAAATAGGCTACAATGCACAGACTAGAACCCCAAAACAAAGAATTACCTGCCCCCAAATGTCAGTAGTGTTAAAAACGACACTAGAGAAATCCTGAACTAGAGGGGTAAGGCTGGGCAGTCTGTATCAAAATCATCCTTGAGCCCACCAGACCTCTTTATCCTGCCTGTGGGATGAGTCTTAATCCCAAACCGTGTCATTCTGACTTTTTTCCAGTTGGATATTAAAGATTAGAATATCACTTTGCATCAGAAATGTTTTCAAGTTAGTTAGCAAGCCTCAGTGTCTCCAAGAAAATAAAAAGTTGGGAGGGGGAAATAAAAGGAGTAAACTAGAATGTGTCTTGAGGGCAGGGATTCCTCATGCTTATAACTCCAGTGCCTAGTAGAGAACGGGGCACATAGTAGGTGTCCCAGAAATGTCTGTCCAGTGGATGAACAGAACTTGGTGAGACATGTAAAGAAGACACTAAAACAAAGGCTATAACCTAAGCTAAAACCTCAAACAGACGCTGACCCATACTGATAGAGTTTGGGCTTCCAGGAATTGAGGTCAGAATGATAGTACGATAGTACTTACTGTGGACTAGGCAGCTTAGGGTAAGTGCAGTGAGCACAACAATCCCACTTACTGAGCTCAGGATAATGACCCAGAACTGATTATTAGAAGGCTGAAGCTCTGCTGCAGAGGGAAAAGAAGAGTGTCAGTTCTCATGAGTTTCCATCTGCCATAGTCTATGCCTCTTATACTGACACAGCTATGAAGAGTATTCTTCACTTCTTTCTCTGCTCATCCACTATGCAGCTGCTAGCATTTGTCTTGCATAACTCTTTGATCAGACACATATTTGTGGGTAACTAATATCCAGATGTCAGATATCAAATGTGAAAAAGACATTTTGGAAGTTGCATTTGCTGAGTTAAATTGACATGAAAAAGATTCTGAGATACTTTAAAACCATTTTTGTCTTTATATTTCATTTCTATAACATATTACTATGTGTTATTAATAATTATTTGACATCATGTCTTATTTTTCTTTCTCTAGATCTGACATGCCCTTTCCCTTTCTCTTAGCATATTCTCTTAACACACACACACACACACACACACACGCACATACCTCACAGCTGCCTAAAGCTACAGGAGCTCTTTTGTATTTATTTTCAGATACACATTTAATTTCCACCATCCAGCCTAGAACTTCTGGAAGGATAGAGGAGACAATAGCAGAGAACTAAGAGTAGATGTGGCTTGGTGTCAGGTTAGGTCTTCCTGGAGGGGAGCTCTGCAAACCGGCTAGCAGCTGTAGAACACAGGGATCAGAGAGAACACAGGGACACAAGGAATGATGTGGGTGGAGAGTAGACAGGTATGTGGGACTGCTGTCTGTCCCTGCTGATCAGGAGCAGTAGCTACATTGTTTATTCTTCAACTCCTTTGAGGAACAGTTAGCAATGGCATTTGGAGAAAGGGCAGGGACACAAAAGAACATTAGCAGCTCATCTTCTGATTTCTCTGGAACAGTTTACAAATAAATATTGAACATTTGCTAACTCACTGCTTTTCATTTTTCTGACTACCACAGCGTGAGGATAAATGTTGGTGTTCAGCTTATTCTTATCAGCATTTGGCCCAGTTGAAGCCTCCTCCTCCTTGGACTTCTATGACACCACCTTCTTCTGTTTCTGTTTGTTCTGACTCCATTATCTTCGTAGACTCTTCCTCCTCTTGTTCTTTAAATACCGTTGCTCTCATGGTTCCATCTGTGGTCCCATTCTCCTCTCTCCAGCCCCAGTCTTCCTGGGTGATCTCATCCACACCCAAGCTTCAAAATACCATCTGATTTCTAAATCTGTATATCATATTTCTGATCCCATTTCTGAACTTCAGATTTGAATTTCCAGCTGCCAACTAGACGGCTGGATGCAGCCATTTCCACTTGATTTAAATAAAATTCACTATATTCTTTCCAAAGCATATCTTCCATTCACCCACCTCAGTGAACAGCAACACCATTAGTTACCTAAATAAGAGTAAAGGCTTCTTTTTATGCTCACTTCCCAGTAGGTTCCCATGGACTTTCTATTCCATATTCTGGATATCTCTGCAATTGGTTCCTTTACCCAAAGTCTCATGCAGCCACTGCCTTAGTTCAGGTTTTTCTTCTCTCCCACCTAGTGGTCTCCATACCAGTCTCTTTGCCTCTGGTTTCCTAGGCTCTAATAATTCCTACACATTCTGCCCCAGTAAGCATTCTAAAATGCTTCTACCACTTAGAAACTAGGGAACATTGGTTTTCTTTTATTTAAAACACCAGATTGCATGAAGATGTGTGATTACCTGGATTGGCCTCCACAGACCAGAATGACAAGGAGGCTATGGTTATTATCTTGGGAGTCTAAAAGTTTCACAGATTCTGACTCAGTCCTGACTTCCTCTCAGAAGGAAGGCCACTCCCTGCCCGTCCTCAAACCTCACTCAACCTAAAAAGTGGATGTTTGTTTGAGAGAAAAAAGGAGGAACTAGTAGTGGCGAACTGGCTTTGTCATGATGTCAGTTAAAAACCTAATAAATGCACCACAGTGCAGACTCAGAGTCCTAACTGCAGAGTTATGTGAGGACATCTCTACAGGCTTATCAGATACACCATGAGTGGGATGCCCTGATTTACCCCCTTCCACATACCTATGTGCCTTCCACTATATCAAGGGTTAACCAGTTTGGCAGACCCAGACAGAAAGAATCATGAACCCAATCCATTTCATTAATAAATTTGTGTGTGTGTGTTTTTCAGTTTCAATTAATTAATTTTTATGTCTTTATTTTATTATCTAAAAAAATTTTTTTACATTTATTTTTTGAGAGACAGCATGAGTGGGGAGGGTCAGAGACAGAAGGAGACACAGAATCTGAAGCAGCTCCAGGCTCTGAACTGTCAGCACAGAGCCTGACACAGGGCTTGAACCCACTAACTGTGAGATCATGACCTGAGCCAAAGTCAGATGCTTAACCAACTGAGACACTCAAGCGCCCCTGTTTTTATTTTAGAGGGAGAACAAGCATGAGAGCAGAGGAGAGGCACAGAGGAATAGAGAGAGAATCTTAAGCGGGCTCCACGCTAAGTGTGGAGCATGACACGGGTCCTCAAACCAGGACCCTGGGATCATGACCTAAGCCAAAGTCAAGAGTCGGACACTCAGCCAACTAAGCTACCCAGGCACTCCTGGAGTTTTTATTTTTTATTTTTGGAGTGGATATTTATATAGTAAAGCTTTCTTCATATAGTAAATATTGACTTATAACATTTCTATGAATTGTACACCTAATTTTTGTTTGTTTATGTAGTCAGCCCTTGACCACCCACAAATGCATTATTTGCTTTTGACTCTCAATGATGACTATAGTTCAATTAATGAGATTTGAAGTATTCATATACTAAAGCTCTCTGACCATCAAGGCCACACTAGTATCTAGCAAGATGCTTAATACTGGTAACTCCTTAATAAAGACTGAATGAACGAAGAAATGAATAAGCACATGTACTTAATCATCTTTCTATTAATTATTGTAAATGTAGACCGAAGAGGGCAAAGAGCTAGTATTTTTCATTAGACTGAAAAGGGATACTGTTCATCCTTAGCATGAGGGAAGAATTGAAAGAAGGCATATTAGGGAAAAGATGATAAAGCTGGGTGGTCAAAAATCATCTTTAAAAAGCAGCTCCATCCTTTTATTTGAATGGACTACATTCTGTTTCCTGTAAGTTAGCAAATTATAGGCCAAACCTGGCCTACTGCCTCTTTTTTAGAATAAAATTGTGTTGGAACACAGCCATGTCCTTCATTTATGTCCGGTCTATGGCAGCTTCCATGTTGTTAACAGCAAAACTGAGTTGTTGCCAGCCAGAGACCGTATGACCTACCAAGATTAAATCATTTACTGAAATATTTCTTTTCTCAAAATATTTGCCAATTCCTGTCCTAAAATAGCATACACATTCATACTCCAAATATAATGTCCAAAATAAGATGATCAAAGCTGCTATTACTGTTCTGTGCAATACTTACTCCCTACCTTAATCATAATAATCTAAAATTGATTAAATAATGATATGTTAATAGAGTGAAAAGTAATGCTGATTTATTAAACTATATGACTCAAACCTCATTTTTATACTTTTTTTAGAACACATAAAAGTTGATTGAAAGAAATTTGCTTGGACTATTAATAAAATCATGTCAAAATTTTGTTTGTATTTGAACTAATTTTCCCAGGAAATTTTATCTTACTACCTATTGAGGAAAATAATGAGCGAGTTCACCTCAAGAAGGAAAGATCTAGAGTAAATCATTCACCAGAATGAGCTATGAGACCATCTAAAAATATTTCCTCTATTACAAGTAAAGATAAGAGGAAGACATGCTATACATCATATATTACATATCCACATGCCACTCAGTGTATATCAAATTCAGTATATTGTTTATTACTATGCAGCCACAAAATGTGTTGTTAAGAGTGGGCCTAGCAGGTGAGGGAGAGGCCTGCTGGGCTTCCATATAATCAGCATACAAGTTAGACACTTATTTCAAGTATCTGAGTTCTGTAATAACCTATTAAGGGTTTAACATGCATAAATGGATATAAGCACAACTTTTCCCTTATATTTGCAGATGATTTCATTTCTTTTTTTTTTTAGTTTATTTATTTTTGAGAGAGACAGACAGACAGACGGACGGACAGACAGACAGAACATGAGTGGAAGAGGAGCAGAGAGAGAGGAGGAGACAGAATCTGAAGCAGGCTTCAGGCTCTGAACTGCCAGCACAGAGCCCAGTACAGGGCTTGAACTCACAGACCATGAGATCATGAGCTGAAGTTGGATGCTTAACTGACTGAGCCACCCAGGTGCTCCCAAATGATTTCACTTCTTAGGGATAGAAAATTCTGTATGTTTACTACCTGGAAGGTAAAGTATTTGGTCATGGGATTTGGGCAAAAATGACCTCTCTTTTCAGGCATTGTCCTTAAGTGGTCTGTCATTTACCTTCTTTACCAGACTTGGTTCTGAATGAACCAGCAGTTCTTAAAAGGCACATTCACCCTCAAAAGACAATTATTTGACACCATGGGACAATGGGAAGGAGGTACCCCAAAAGAAAGCATCAAAACCCTAATGGCAAATTCAAAGAAGGACAAATTTCAGTGCTTCCAGTATTAACACTATTGTTACAATAACTTCCTAAGCTGACTACTTGATATTTGGATGTCTCAGTTTTAGAAAGTTTATTTAAAAAAATAAAATTAGTTTAGTAATATTATGGTCACACCTTGTACAGTGACCTGAAGTCGCCATGTCATTTGTGGGTCTAAAAATAGTACAAGAAATGCTATCAAAGTCAATATGCACAATTCTACAATGTATCTGGCTGAGTTATTTTCTTTTTAGATTCTACATAGTAGAAACTCCCTGGAACAACATTACTTACATTTTTGCCAGTTGAAGATCTGTGATACTATTAAGTTTCCATACTTGACAAGACACAGGAAGCTATGGTTGTTTGTCATATTGAAATCCAGTTCACTACTAATAGTGTAGAGCTCAGTTTCAGGATCTTGGGAAACTGTTGTGTTGATGGCATTTAATTCTTCTTCATTTTCCAACCAGGAGAGGTGAGGCTTTGGAAAACCTCCAGAGGTTAAGCACATTATCCTTTTGATGTTATGAGATGGATTTCCAACATCAGTTATACTAGGGACAGGGAAGTCAGCTAAAGAAAGAACAAGGATATATCGTTATGTATTGGGGGATGGAGCGGGAAGAGTGAAGTTTTTTCTTTAAGTAAATTATCTAGATTTAATAAGAATAATAAAATGAGATATAATTTACAATTTACCACAAATCATTAATATTTACATATACTCCAAAGATTAACTTTGGTTTGAATTGGGTATAACAATTCTTCATCACTTTTTTTTAAAGATCTCTACACCCCATGTGGGGCTCAAACTCACGACCCTGAGATCAAGAGCCAAATGCTCTTCTGACTGAGCCAGCCAGGCACCCCAATTCTTCATCACTTTTGATGGAGGTAGGAGGACACTTATAGAAAGAAGTAGATTTATATGAATAGATATTGACATAGTATTTGCATTCATAAGAAATGAAGAGAAAAATAATAGACAACATTTATTGAACTCTTAACGTTTGTTAGGTCTGGACACTACCTCATTTTATCTCTACAACAACCCTAAGAGGCATGTGTACATCAAGAGAGACCAAATATCAGCAATTTCATATAATTTAACCTAATTTCCATTTTATAAATAATCAGATTGAGGTCAAGAGAAATCATGAGTAAGTGGCAAACCTGGGGTGTGAATTCAAGTTTTTCTGATACCAGAACCATCCTTTTCATTCTCTTCTCTTTCCTTGCCTGCTTTTTTCTTTTCTTTTCCTTTCCTGCCTTTCTTTTCTTCCCTTTCTTCATAATATTTGAGGTAGATAAAGTGGCTCTTTTATTGATCTATTTTTTAATTAACACTATAAAAACACTTATGAACCCACCATCCAACTTGTGAGCCACCATATAGAGTATAACTTATGAAAATCTACTTGTATGGTCATACTTTTGTTGTCTCCCTATTTCCCACACTTGAGATAACCACTACTCTAAATTTTCTTTAGCATTCCCTTACTTTTTCAAAAGTAGTCTTTAATAAAATAAACCTCTGTCCAAATTGTACAACATTGGGTCTGTGATCTCAACCACTATACTTTGCTGACTCCCTTGCTGTTCTGATATGTATTACAAGGACAGAAGAGACTTTCTAGCATTCCTCCAAGATACTTGAGGCACTCTTTAATTTGTATACTTGACTCCCAATAAGATACTAAGGTATATACCAAGGAAAGTGTGGTGAAATGACTGCAGAGAACACTGGAGAAAGCTCCTTTACCCACTTTCTTCCTTATTCTTAGGCCTAAAGAAATTTACACTTCTCAGCCTGAATGTGGGGAACCAAGTCCCAGATGGTTCATCTCATCTATACAGTTAGTTTTCTTACAATTTGGAGTTCTACAAAGATGTGTAGTATAGCATGATGGTAATCAACAGCAGGTTGTTGTTTTTTTAAGAGTTTATTTAGAAAGCATCACTGGGACACCTGGGTGGCTCAGTCAGTTAAGTGTCTGACTCTTGATTTCAGCTCAGGTCTTGATCTCAGGGTCATGATTTTTTTTTTTTTTTTTTTTTTTATTTCTAGGAGAGAGAGAGAGAGACAGCATGAGCAGGGGAGGGTCAGAGAGAGAGGGAGTCACAGACTGAAACAGGCTCCAGGCTCTGAGCTGGCAGTCAGCACAGAGCCCGACGCGGGGCTCGAACCCACGAACCGCGAGATCATGACCCAAGCGAAAGTCGGACGCTTAACCGACTAAGCCACCCAGGCGCCCCCTCAGGGTCATGATTTTAAGCCCCACATGCATGTTGGGCTCTGTGCTGGGTGTGAAGCCTACTTAAAAAAAAAAAAAGTAAACAAATTGTACTACTTGGATTTTCTTTTAATACAACACATACAATGCAAAGCTGAAGCCACTCATGACGATTGTGCTTCTCCAGAAAGTTGGGGTTTTTTAAGAGACCATCTGTGAATCATACATGATTCATAAAGATTCTTTTAAGGCACAGTGGCCAAGATCCAACAGCAAGCTTTAAAACGGGTTTTGCCCTCTAAACCTGGGCCAATCACTTAACCACTTTCAGTTTTACTTTGCTCATCAGAATAACACTTGCCTTCCAGGGTTGTAAGCATTAAATGATATCATTAATATAAATCATAAAACACAGAGCCTGACACACAGGAAATTAGTTAATAGACTGACTTAGGTGGGACTCAAATTTGCCCTCTCTTAAATGAGCTCCCTTATTTATATCAAATTGCCCAGGGAAAAACTTCTCAAACCGCCTGGCAAAACTGTGAATAATAAGAGAAAGGGGAAGTTATGATGAGTGATTGTAACTGCCAGGGAAAAAAAAAGCTTGCATTTGGTTGGAGGTGAAGTCACCTTTTTTGAATCAACCCTGTCTCTAAATTAAGTTTGACATTTTCCTGAGCCATTTTTAGTTGACATTTCTACTCCTTTAATTTATCATATAAGATGAGATCATTACAGTGGTAGCTGACATCAAGAATATATCTTTGTAGGGCACCTGGGGGGCGCAGTTGGTGGAGCATGCAACTCTTGATGTTGGGATGGTAAGTTCAAGGGCCAAGTTGGGTACAGAGGTTACTTATAGTCTTAAAGAAAAAAAAAAAGAATATCCCTTATTTCTTATAACATCAATGTTATGTGTTTTAACCTGGAATAACAAATCCCAGTAACTCATATCTTAAATTATGATTCATGCTCGTTTCTGCACTCTGCTTTTGTGAGAGATACTTAACCATGAGAATATTAAAAATATTCTATATATTAAAAACCATCTTTGCAAGGTCTGGCTAGACTTAGAATAGCCTCAGCTGTCTCATATCCCTTCAGTGAGGTGATCCATTTCAAGTAACAGTACCTAAAGTCTTGCAAGATTGTAAACCATCAAAGAATTACTCCTTTGTGTCTCATTTTAATGAGTTTACCCATGTTTTCACCACTCTTAATGGGTAGGGTAAAAATATCTTATTGGGAGAAAAGGTGCACATGTGTTAGAAAGCTAAAAATCTGGGGCGCCTGGGTGGCTTAGTCGGTTAAGCGTCCAACTTTCGCTTAGGTCATGATCTCGCGGTTCGTGGGTTCGAGCCCCGCATCGGGCTCTGTGCTGACTGCCAGCTCAGAGCCTGGAGCCTATTTCAAAGTCTGTGTCTCTCTCTCTCTCTGACCCTCCCCTGCTCACGCTGTCTCTCTCTCTCTCTCTCCTAGAAATAAATAAAAATATTAAAAAAAAAAAAGAAAGCTAAAAATCTAACCTAGTTAATCTGTTAACTAGTATAGCTATCCTCCAAATGCTGGTTAATGGAGGGTTTTATACACTGCTATGCTGATACAATATCATTTTGCAATCTTAGGCAAATGTAGAGACACCATCTTGTCCTGGTTAGCCTGAGATTTTCCCAGGTTTGGCACTGAAAACCTCATGTTTGAGGAAACCTTAGTCCTAGGCAAAATGGGACAGTTGATCACCCTAGTCAAATAAGTGATTATTTAATTTCTTATTAAACTGTGGTCCATACTGTACAGGCATCACCATACTGTACCTACCGTACCATACAGTAGCTGCATAGGTATCACCTGGTAGTTTGTTAGCGCAGAATTGAAGATCCAACCCCAGACCTACAGAATTTGATTCTGCGTTTTAACAAGATCTCCAAGTGATTCACAGGAACCTTAACATTTGAGAAGCACTGCTCTGACTGAGATGGAAAAATCAGAATTGATTGGTTCTGAGTCAAATGAAGCAGGCGAAGTTTCCCTTTTTGTCTTCCCCTTTCTGACTTTGGTGCCCACTACCGCGCCCCCTCCGGGCCCCTTTGAGGCCCCCAGCACTCTCATGTTGTCTTCTTAGCTGTCCTTGGTCTCCTGCTGTAGTCTTGCACTCCCTGAGACCCCCCCCCCTTTTCCCTCTTGGATTTTATTCTTTATCTTTCTATCAAAATATGCGTAGTCCTGAGTCAACTTCCCTTTAGGTATTCTTTTAGAGGATTGACTATAGCTAATTCATTAACTAATACAAATTAATATGTTTGTGGTGCTACTTCCTCCTCAGGTAAAACATTTTCATTTTTAACAGAGATCTCATAGGGGGGAAAGTGCTGAAACTAAGTAGGAGCAGGAATAATGGTGGGAATTCTCAGAATCAAGGCAGGTTAGAATTTTGGAGAAAGTGGACTTTGAAGAACACCTAAAAGCACACCCCTACATAATTATTGCTGTCTTCATGAGCAGGGAATACAGAGTGAGGTTTAAGATAATTCCATGTAACTGGCTCACTTACTAAGCTTTAAGTGTTATTTGGGTGCTAAAGTGAAAGATTCAAAATAGTTGGAGACTAAAGCAGAGAAGAATAGTGAAGAATCTGCCAAGGATCCACTTACATGATCTGTTATCAAGGTTAATGATTATCTTCTATTAAGTAATAGGTTTGGTTTCCACTAAAGGCCCAAGTTTCCAGGAAGAAAAAGAAATTGAATTTCAAGTATGAGGGAATGGTCAAGGGCTATACTTTCTCAGCAAGGGGCTCAGGCTATATTAGTGTCCTCTAGAACTACCACCTGTGATAAACACAAGATTCCTTCCTACCCAAGAAATGCTTGCCTTCACAGTAGATGTATAAGTAGGGCTTTGATTTATGAATTAATTCTCTTCCCTGTTACAATAAATTATGTATCCAATCCTCTAATGTCTAACTTTGTAGGAATAACCATTAGATCAGAGCCTCAAGTGTAGTAATAAATATAAATAATATAACAGCCATAGTAATAGGCATTCAAATACTATTTGAAAAACACTTATGCCTGCATTGTTCTTATACCTTTCAATATACTTTCACAAGAATATATTACTGGATCAAGTGCAGTTAATAGTACAGCTACATCAAATCAAAAGTGTCCCCTTATGATTCAGAAGGCAAGTCAGGTCATTCTAGTGCCTCAGGATGACTGTCATGAATTTGGACTATCAAAAATGCAAGAAATACACACTGATCAATATTTCCAGGATGTCTTGAGAGATCAATTAGGGTTTATTGTAACATTACAGACTTACTTAACCCTAAATGCAGATACATCCCTCTTTGATAACATTTTCAACTAAATCAATAGGAGTATGTCTTTAAAGGCATCAAGAGTCTGCCAGTTTATAGTAAATCAGAAAAATCCCACTGACCTCTGACCAATAACATCACCGAAGTCAGGTGTTTCACTATGTAAGCCCCTTTTTCAGTCTTTTGAATGATACAGGTGTATTTGCCATTGTCTGACAGGCGCAGAGCCATGATCACAATGGAGTGGTTATCGGTGATGTCCGTGACTGTGCGGTTCTTATACTTGGGCCATACTTGTACTTTGCCAGACATGACAGCCAACACCATTTCATCATCCTTTTGCCAATAGATTCGAATTTCCTTCAGGTCTTTGGTAGAAATGTTGTAATCACAGGATAGTACTGCTGCTTCTTTCACTGTCTTGTTCACCTGGATGATACCTAAGGAGAGGCAGACAGAAAAGATTTTGTATTGATTACGTATAGACTCCTGCACAAGCAGGAATTCAGAGCTGTCAATAACAAAACTCGGGGTGCTGTACCTAGTGACCAAGCATGATCAGAGAGTTCAGTTTGTTTTTGAGAATTTTGGTCCCCAGTGCTATTTTTTAATTGTGGTTTAAAATGTAAAATATACCATCTTAACCATTTTTAACTGTGTTTATTTTTTTAAATAGTTTATTGTCAAGTTGGTTTCCATATATCACCCAGTGCTCATCCCCACAAGTGCCCTCCTCCATGCCCATTACCCCCCTCCCCTTCCCCCCATACCCATCAGTCCTCAGTTTATTCTCAGCATTCAAAAGTCTCTCATGGTTTGCCTCCCCCCCCCCACTATTCCCCCTTTCTTCTCCCCCATGGTTCTCCATTAAGTCCCTCCTAATCCTCCTATACGTGCAAACATATGGTAGCTGTCCTTCTCTGCCTGACTTATTTCGCTCAGTGTAACACCCTCAAGTTCCATCCACGTTGCTACACATGGCCAGATTTCATTCTTTCTCATTGCCATGTAGTATTCCATGGTATAGATAAACCACATCTTCTTGATCCATTCATCCATTGATGGACACTTAGGCTCTTTCCATGTTTTGGCTATTAAGAGTGCTGCTGTGAACATTGGGGTCCATGTGCCCCTATGCATCAGCACTCCTGTATCCCTTGGGTAAATTCCTAGCCGTGCTATTCCTGGGTCATAGGGGAGTTCTATTGTTAATTTTTTGAGGAAACCGCACAGTGTTTTCCAGAGGGGCTGCACCATTAACTGTGCAGTTTAGTAATGTTAGGTATATTCACATTGTTGTGAAACAGATCTCCAGAACTTTTCGTCTTCCAAGTCTGGAACTCTGTATGCATTTTTTTTTAACCCCTTGGTAACCACCACTTCATATTCTGTTTCTATGCATTTGACAACTTTAGATACTTCATATAACTGGAATCATATAGTATTTTCTTTTTGTGACTGGCTTATTTCACTTAGCATAGTGTCCTCAAGATTCATCCATGTTTTAGCACGTACCAGAATCCCTTCCCTTTTTAAGAAATAATAAGATAATGATAATATCCCATTGAATGTGTATACCACACTTTCTTTTCCATTCAACTGTCGATGGACAGTGACGGAGAAGGTCTACTAGTCCTAGAAGAAGGAGGACTTTAGGAGACCTAGTATATGAATGCCGACTATGGGTACACAACATACTCAGCCCAATGAGGATATTGAAGTCATCGGAATGTAAGATCTTAAAGGGACTTCCATGTTGATTCATTTTGGTTGTTTTATTTATAGATAAGAAAACTAAGCCCCAGAAAGGAGACTGCCCCTGCTTTGTGCTTTCTGGCCCAGACCTTTCAGGCCACTCTCCTTGTTTATTGATTTCCCCAACTTTAGGCCCCAGTTCCAGTATAAGTAGGCCAACACTGCCCACACCCCAGCCGGACCCCACTGTTGAGCTCTTTTGCTTTGAGAAACACAGTCCTTTTTGTTCCAGGCCTGGAATGACCTCATGACTTCAGGCTCATTCCCCCCAGACAAGGTGTAGCATGCACTCCCAGACTATTTCTATCCTTTTTAGCAACACTAAATGGATCTATATCCAGTCCTTATCTCTTTCAGCTATTTGCAATCCATGCAACACTTGCCCTATAAGACAGTCCCCATTTAAAACATTCTGCCCATTTTCCCATCAGTATATTCCAGAAATGCCAATGTTTCAATATCCAAACTCCATCTTTTTGTTAGCTCCTAAGCATTTATCAGTAGCAGCAAACTCCCCAGTCAGACTATATTTTCTGATTTTTTTGGTTCAGAAGGCATGGCCATTCTTCCTATGCTGTGCTTGACCTACAAGCAGAAACTCCCAAGCCCAAGCTCTTCCACAACTAGCCACTCCCTCCCCCACCCAATGCTACCATATCCCCCAGAGCCACACAGCGTCCCCTGGGGAGGCCTCTATCAAGGGATCGAGTCTCCAGTCCCTCTCTCTTCTTAGATAGCATGATCATGGAGCACTAGCACCTCTCTATCTCGACAGCCATCCTTCAGGCTTTCATCAGATTGGGTATGAGCCCTCCACACCATTAGGAAGCCAGTTTTGTGATGGCAGGTATCTTCAGAGCAGAGTGAGGTAACTCCCAATGATCTAAGGCACCCCTTTTGGCAATTGCACTGAACACTGCCACCCTCAGCTTTAAGGAACATAACTGAGAAAGTGAAGAAATGAAAATGTGCTCCACTTCAGGGGAGCACATAATAGCTAAATAACTTGAAGTCTTTTTTTTTTTTCTAATGTTTATTTATTTGGGGGGGGGTGACAGTGTAAGTGGGGGAGGGGCAGAGAGAGAATTCTAGGCAGGCTCCACGCTGTCAGCATGGAGCCTGATGTGGGGCTCGAACCCCTGAAACCATGAGATCACGACCTGAGCCGAGATCAAGAGCGGACACTCAACTAACTGAACCACTGAGGTGCCTCAACCTGAGCTCTTTTTAAAAAAGATACAGCAGAGGGTGCCTGGGTGGCTCAGTCAGTTAAGCATCCAGCTCTTGGTTTTGGCTCAGGTCATGATCTCATGGTTTGTGAGTTCAAGCTTCACATCAGGCTCTGTGCTGACAATGTGGAGCCTGCTTGGGAGTCTCCCTCTCTCCCTCTCTCTCCCCTCCCCCACTTACTCACATGCATGCTCTCTCTCTCTCAAAATAAATAAATAAACTTTATATGAAAAAAATACAGCAGAAGCAACCTGATATGTAAAAGCATGAACTATGGATTCCTATTGACTTGGATTCTAGTCCCAGCTCAGCCACTTGCTAATTAATCCATTTCCTCATCTGTAAAAAGGGTATAATACCTACCTCTTAGGATCACTGTAAAATTAAATTCAGTTAAATGATATAAATGGAAAAGTCCACAGCACGTCTTCTATAGGACTTTCCTTTCCTTCCCCAACTCTTGCTCCCAACTTCTACCCTGTGGTCCTTTCATTTCACTCAGGAGTTATGTCAAATACATAGGATTCTGGTCTTGCTATCCGCCATTACAGATACCACGACAGAAAGCAGGTTATTCATCTGAGATTCTAAATAGGGTCTTTCCCGATGATCTGTTTGTTCCCACCCGAAAAGAATCCAGGATTTCTAAGTAATTTTGACACGTGGTAACGTTAGCAAAAGAGGAATCTTAGGGGCACGTGGATGGCTCAGTCAGTTGAGTGTCTGACTCTTGATTTCAGTTAAGGTCATGATCCCAGGGTTGTGGGATTGAGTCCCTCAGTGTGGAGCTTGCTTAAGATTCTCTCTCTCTCTCTCTCTCTCTCTCTGCCCCTCTCCCCTGCTCACTCTTTTTCTCTCTAAAATAAAAATATAAAAATAATAAAAATGGAAAAAAGAGGAATCGTACCTGAAAATGAGCTACTTTCAATGACTCTTTTTTTAATTAAAGGTTTTTTTTGTTGTTGTTAATTAAGTAGGCTCCACATCCAATGTTGGGCTTGAACTCACAGCCCTGAGATCAACAGTCATGTGCTCTACTGACTGAGCCAGTCAGGCACCCTTTCAATGATGACTCTTAAGGAGTTTTTGTCCAGCCATCTGAGGAGAAGTGTGGGTGTCTCACTAAAGGTCAGTAACCATCAATGGGATCCTGAATGTTCCTATGTGAACTCCTCTCACCACACACTCATGCTGAAGAAGAACCAGACTGAAAAGAGGAACCAAAAATCTTCTGGGGAATTTGGAAATTCCACCGGGACCCAGCTTCCATACTCAGGGCTGCTACATGCAGACAATTAAAGGGTCTCTGAAGTGTTTTGTCTGCTTCAGTGGCTCTGGAGGAGAGAGTCAGGTTCCTGAAGTCTGAGCATTACTGCCTAAAACTTAGTTGAATTTTGACCTTACTTTACCATTTTACAGATGAGCATAACAACACTTACCTAACAAAGCAGTTATGAGGATTCTGTGAGGTAACACACAGAAGATGTCTCTGAAGTTGTGAGCATATGATAGGTATACCAGTGCCTTCCCCAGACATCCACACAGCCCAGTTCCTCACTTTCCTCAGGTTCTTGCTCTGGTACCCCTTGGTCAGAGAACCCTTCTCTGACTCTCCCTAACCAGCGCTCTCCTCCCAGACTTCACCCATGCTTCTCCTCGTCAGTCCCTTTCCTGATTTACTTCTCTTCAAACTTATCTCTAGCAATAGGTACCTCTGAGACTATGAAAGCTGAGGCTGTATCTGTTTATCCACAGAATCTAGAACAGAGACTGGCCCAGAGTAGGTGCTCAATAAATATTTACTGAAAGTATGGCTAAGCATTAGGAGATGAGATCTGCCTCCATTGGCTTTTGCACATTGGAATCATAACCTCAAACAAGTTGGTTCCTTGGGAATCTCTGCAAAATGGGCTTAATACATTCTCTCCTAAAACTTCATGTAATTATCACTGGGGTTATATGATACCCAGATATAAAAGTGCTAAGTTAACTATAACACACTATACAGAAATTTTAAACTTAATATTCTGTCATTTCCTTAATTAAATTTTCCTGTCATATGCAGCATGTGATTTGTTGAATTATACCCAGGACAGGCCAGAATCACTGTGGTAACTAACTGGTTGACATCCGGATGGAGCCAAGTGCCCACAGCTGTGCAGAACAGCTTAAATCCCCATGTGCTGGGCTGTATGTTAGTTCACTGGGATTTGACAGTGCTTTTTATTTTTTTATTTTTTTTTTAATTTTTTTTAATGTTTTATTTATTTCTAGGAGTGAGAGAGAGGGACAGCGTGAGCATGGGAGGGTCAGAGAGAGAGGGAGCCACAGACTGAAACAGGCTCCAGGCTCCGAGCTGGCAGTCAGCACAGAGCCTGACGCGGGGCCCGAACCCACGAACCGCGAGATCATGACCTAAGCGAAAGTCGGACGCTTAACCGACTAAGCCACCCAGGCGCCCCTTGACAGTGCTTTTTAAATAAAGATGTTCCCTGCTCTAAAGGAAACACACATTCAATTTAGACAGAAGGGAAATATATAAACGCCTAATAGTCATCTATAATCCCTCCATCTAGTGATTTACTGCTAATGGCCTGTGTATATCCTTCCAATGGAAGTGACCTTTTGGGACACTTCTAAGTACTTTTCATGAAGGGAACCAGCACACCTGGGGCTTGTGTTGGCTTTGGGTTTGGTGCTGGGAACACAAGGGGGAGGGAGAAGTATCTGCTCTCCAGCAGCTGACAGATTTGAGACCTGTGACCTGATGTTTGCATTGCTCCTGCCTTTCTCTCCTCTTGAGACTCCGCCTGTGCACTCTTAGAAATCTAATCCTTTTGTGGCTCTGTGCTGACAACTTAGAGCCTGGAGCCTGCTTTGGATTCTGTGTTTCCCCCTCTCTCAGGCCCTCCCCCACTTGCACTCTCTCTCTCTCAAAAGTAAAATAAACATTTAAAAATCGTTTTAATAAATAAATACTAATTTCTGGAGTACTTGAGTTTTTGTTTTTGCCCCCACAGACCAAATTAGAAGTGGAGAGGAGTACAGCTGGCCCCTCCCTTTTCAGGACAAAGAGGTCACCTGTTCTGGGCAGCAATGGCTGGGGGTGGGTGGGTGGTAGTGCAGCTTCCTGGACCAGACCAGTAGAGGAGGGTGTGTGCCAAATCCCTTTCCCTGAAGCAAAGGCCTCCATAATCTTACCCAGCCTTGCCTTCCACAAGCCATGCTCAGCTCCCAGCTGCACCTAGTCTGGCAAACTCCCAGATTCTATATCACACAGGCCCTCCGATCCCCCCATCTCCTTCTGACTCCAGTCTTTTCATCAGAGCTGTCTGTAACAGCCCCCTGATAGGTTTCACACTATCGCTCTGGCAACCTTACAAGCCATTCTTTCTGCTTTAGCAACACCTTTTTTTTTTTTAACGTCTTTTCAGAACTTTATTACTCAAAGGGCTGTGGCCCAACAGTGTCGTCATCACCTGACATGCGGACTCTCAGGCCCCTCCCTGCCCCACCTAAGCAGAAACTGTATTTTTCAAAAAACATACAGACTTTATTTTAGATCAGTTTTAGGTTCATAGCAAAACGAATGGAAAGTACAGAGAGTTCCCATATACTCCCATCTCCTCCATGCACTCGGCCTCCCCTACCATCACCATCCTATGCCAGAGGGTACATTTGTGACAATCAATGAACCCACATTAACCATCATCACCAAAGTCTGCAGTTTACTTTAGGGATTATTCTTGACACTCTACCTTCTAGGGGTTTTGACAAACATAAAACGACATGTATCCACCATTATAGTATCATATGGAGTTTTTGCACTGCCCTAAAACTCTCCTGTGCTAGAAACTACTTTTGACGAGGCCCCCAGGTGATTGATATAGATCATTGAGGTGAGAGCAGCACTGGTAGAGAGCATGTCACAACTCCTTAAAACACTTCCATGGCCTCCCAGTGCCCTCCAAATAACATTCAGATTCCTGACCATGGCCTTCAAGACCCACGGAGTCTGGTCCCTGCCTCTGCCTGCCCCAACACCAGCCACCTTCACTTCTCGGCTTCTCTGTTTTCTTCACGTGGTGCTCTCCCACCTTCACCCAGCTCTCCCTCACCATAACAACTCTGGTTTTAATGGCAGAAGAAGACACTGCTTGTTGCTCATATATTCATTTGTGTGATTCTTTGATTGGTTTTCATGTTCTTCCTGATGACTGTAACTTCTGTGAACACAAAAGCCACACCAATTTTGCTTGCAACTTGTCCCCGGGACCAAGAAAAGTCTCCTGTATGTAGGAGACGCTCAACATTGTTTAATTAATAAATGAGTAAACAAAGGGAGGAACGGTTGTGCCAGACTCATCCTTACCTTTGTGCCTTTGTCTGTGCTGTTGTCCTACTCAGAATTCTCTCGCCATCGCCCATCTGCCGCTGGATGCCTGCCCAACTGCCCCAGCCTGCCTTGGTCTTAGGATCTTACAGTCAGAACCGGGCCCTTCACTGCTCTTCACTTGCCTGTGGGTTAGTTTTGCCTTCTCCAACTGACACACTCAAATCTCTTAGAGGACAGGAATCCCAGGCACAGTTTTTAACTACATAGTAGGTGTTCAAGCATGAGAAGTTCATGGATTTGTTTGTTGACTCAGGACAGCAACTAAAAATCTGGCTGTAGCTACAGGACAAAGTGCTTTCCTAAATATTTTTCTTCAGCTCAAAGATCATATCCTTCTACTTGCCTCTAATTTTCCTGCTATAATTGATAAAACTCTGGTTTTAACTTTATATTCTCTTTTTCATTGGTTCCTCCACACACACATATTTCTGTATAAAATTCCTTCTAAACTTTTTAAAACTCCTTAGACTCTCCAGGAGACTCATTTGGGAGTTCTCCCCCAACTTGCCAGAAGAAAAGTGTAACTGTTGGAAAGGTCAAATATATATAATATCTGATGCATAAATTGTGACACTTAAGTCACAGTTCTCCTGGTTCAGCAACCATGTGAAATAGCAAAATTTCCAGCCCAGGACAGAAAATACACGACCACCACCACTGCAGGCAAGTAATCCATGTGCCCAAGATCCTTTCCCCATCCATCTGCCTCCTTCCCTCACACTTAGATGTTCTGGGTTATGCCTGCAGTGCAGACATGCTTTAAGTTAGCAGCTCTTAAGTCAAGGACCTTTGATTTTGGACTCTTTGCAAACTGGCAAACCATGCTGAAGCCAAAGTCTTCTCTTTACTTTGGGGAAACCAGGTAGTATGCTGTTCAGCAGAAAGAAGATCTTTTGTTTGGACTTTAAAAATAAGGTCAGAACCATCCTTCAGCAGGATGAGCCCCACTCTTCTCAACAGCCTCCCAAATCCAGCCCCTGAAGGTTAGCTTGCAGGGTGACAGAAGAAGGCAGCACAGAAAACTCCAACACTAACCTTTGAAGCAGCAAACTCAGTCAAGTTCCTGAAAGTTCCTTACCTGAACAGAAGTGATAAAGATTAGCTAGCATCAAGAGCTGAAAGAGTTTGAGATATGGGTGCTTCAGGAGTGGTGTTCTCCACTTCGCTGTGTGATCCATGGCTTCTGCTGCTTAGGGTAGAGAATGAAAACAATTTCAAACCAACTGAGACCTGGGTAACTCCCAGCAAGCACAAAGCAGGAGTAGAAGTCAATTCAATTGCTTCACACAGGGGGTTCTCCAGTGATGTTTGTAAAAAAACACCATGAATGGTGCACTTGGGTTTCCTAACTCCTGACTATAAAAGATTGTGGGTTTATTTTCACAACCTGGAAAAGAAAAAGAGTCACCCAGGAAAGAAGGTCGGCCTACTATGGGTTATAAAACTCCCTAGTTGCCTGCCTGAAATGAGTTGGCAATCTTAATCTGAGCAACCTCTAAACCAGATAATCTTGAGGAAAAAGCAAAGGTTGGGGGAACTCCAAGGAGGTAACCCTGCCTTGTCCATATTCCCAAAACTAACCACAGCTCTCCCATGGAATGGCTCTGTTTATGGGGATGATTAAGACTTTGGGTAAAAGCACAGAGAACGATAAGGGCAGTCAGTATCAGTTAGCCAAACTTCTGGTCCTCTTCAAAAATACCAAGAAACACACAACATCGGAGAGGGCATAGTTTGCACAAGGCAGCATTTAAGTTATGAAAGTACTTCCTTCTTAATACATTAATATGAAAAAAAAAACCCCAAAGACATGTCTTAAAGGGGTAGAGGATATGAATCAACAGAAAAATCTGTCAATAGAAAGGGAAGAGAAAAGACATACTGCAAACATTACTTAGTTATTTTATGTACTATAATGTGAGTAAGCTCATTTTTTTTCAGTAAATATATAAAAATTTAGAGCTGAAATAGAATGCTGTGCTCCAATGTGATCTTCTGAGGTTGCCACCACAGACATAGTCCAATGCTACCCAGAGAACGTTTGGGCCTCCTCTCTGGGAACCAGCCCAGAGGTCGTCTTCCAGTCACCCTTGATTGTTTATTAGTCACACTCCATTTTAACCAGTATTAGTTTGGATTCATTTATTCACCAGAATTTTATCAGCCATAATTCTGTTCTGATGATGGTTCTCCAACTGTGCTGGGAAGCCTCAGCCTCCTATGGGAATGAGACCCCAGTAGGCTCCTTTGGAAATAGGTATGCCTGTTGGAGATAGGAGTAATGGTATGTTTGTTTAATTTTTTTAAAAATGTTTTTTATTTATTTCTGAGAGAGAGAGAGAGAGAGAAAGAGAGAGACAGCGTGAGCAGGGGAGGGTCAGAGACAGAGGGGGGTACAGAATCTGAAACAGGCTCTAGGCTCTGAGCTAGCTGTCAGCACAGAGCCTGATGTGGGGCTCGAACCCACGAACCGTGAGATCATGACCTGAGCCGAAGTCGGACGCTTAACCAACTGATCCCCCTAGGCGCCCCTGGTATGTTTGTTTAAAAAGCAATCAGGTTAAAAAAAAAAAAAAAAAAGCAATCAGTTTGAGGTGCCTGCGTGGCTCAGTTGGTTAAGCGTCTGACTCTTGGTTTGGGCTCAGGTCATGACCTCACGGTTTGTGAGTGTGAGTACTGCATCAGGCTCTGCCCTGGCAGTGTGGAACCGGCTTGGGATTCTCTTTCCTGCTCCCTCTCTCAAAATAAGTAAGTAAACTTAAGGAAAAAAAGGAGTCAGGTTATTGGTAACTATTCCTACCAAGCTATCCCATGTTAAGATAAGATCAAATGTACTTACCGGCTGAAGAACAATTCCTCTTTTTCTCTCGTGTTAAAAAAATTAAAGGATGAGGCCCCAGTTCTGAGATGTTCTTTTTTTGCTGTCTCCAAAATAATGGCAAGTTGCTCCGTTTTTCTTTGGATGATATATCTTCCAACTTCCTTTTACTCCCTAGAAGATCTGTCTGATGTTCTTCACCAGAAATATTTAAGTCAAAGCAAGGAATGGGTAGGGTGTTACGTTTGATTTGAGGAAGCTTGCTCAGCTTTCCCTCTTTATCAGCTGTCCTCAGAGGGTGTGGTTAAGACCAACCACACAGTCCCTCCCTCATTACTTCGCACAAACCAGCAATTTCAAGGGGAGAGAAGACTGCATTGGGCAGCCTGGGGGAGCCACTGGCTTTGATGGTAGGTAGGCTGTGAGCTTTGAGGGCCAGCTGTTTCTGTGTCGGTCTCAAGTTTTGTTTTAGCACCCAGAGTTAGCCCTCTCTACTCACAGGCCTGCCACTGCAGGAGTGGGCATCCATCTCATAGGTAGTGGTCACTTTTTGGAGAGTGCTGGGCTCAAAAGGCCACCCTTAACTGCACTCCCACCCCTCCACCCCAGCTACCTTCACAGAAGAGACTTCCGGCAGCCATGCTGGACAGGATTGCAGTCACCGAAGCCATGGTTGAGTGTGCCTCAGGTGAGCACAATGACAGAAGCAAGGGGTAGAGTGAAGAAGGTACCCACCCACCACTTCTGTTTCAATCAACCTGCCACCACTGTATAGAATTCTGGAGCATTCTGTGGGTGAGCAGCTGACTCATACTGGTGCAGCCGACCTGTCTTTCACATTTCATAGTCTGTTTCTGGCCCTGGGCCTTCTCTGTTGCTTTGGCATGAGGTACCGTGGCAAGTTCTGTGCTTGAACATGCGCAGCCTGGGAATCTGTGGGCCGTTGGTGCCTGTGGGGCTGCTTCTTGACCAGAGGGGGTTGGAAGCTGACAGTTTCCAGGTGGAGATTTTTGGGAGACATTTCATGAGGTTCTCCAGAAGGTCCCAGTGGGATTGAGTACCAGTTGCCTGCAGCAAAAGCCAACGTAGTAAAGAACCCTTGTACGGCTTTTCTTTCTTTTCTGTCTCAATACTCCTGTCCTACACCACTGGACTACATTCCCAATAAACTAGGTTTTTTGTTTCCAGCTTTGCTTTCTGGAGAATCCAGGAGGGATACCATTTCTTTTCTTTTTCTCTTTTTAAGTTTATTTATTTATCTGGGAGAGGGGAGAGCAAGCAGAGGAGGAGCAGAGAGAGAGAATTCCAAGCAGGCTCAGCACTGCCAGTGCAGTGATATGGTAGAGATGCAATAGTTTTCTATTTAAATTTGTAGAAGTAGAAAGGTGAGTCAATTTGGAGGGGAAAAAAATGACAGTAGATATGATACATGAATATGGTAAACCGTGTGAATATGGTATAGAAATGTGTGAAATATTGACTTCAGGCTATTAGAAAGTAAATTTTTCTGGTAAAAATCACAGTTTAAGCTGCCATTTTTCCTAATATTTTTCAGTGTTAAGGAAGGCACGGAGATCCCTTCAGACTAAAAGCTGATATAAAAGGATGACACCTTCTGGGTGTCCACAGTGTGGGGAGGAGTGACAATCATCGTGAGGGAAGAGAAGGAAAGAATAAAGGCTCTTCCACTTCATGACTGTGCTCAGGCTCTGCCTAGGCTTGTGGTGTGGCAGATACAGGACTTCACTGGGGGGAATAAGTCCCAAGGCTCAGCTAATGCATTAGCCTCAGAAAATTGCTGATTGTATTGGAGACAAATCTTATGCACAAGACTGGGTAGCAGCCAATACAATGTAATCTGATAGGTCCATTTCTATAGTATCCCTCCTGGTAGCATCCAGAGTGCTAGTGCTTCCCTGCCAGGAGATGAAGCTGTTTGGGCAAAGGAAGTGTCTTCAAACCGAGATACCTCTACCCCCAAGGGCACCTGCAGATTTTCAAAGGGTATGCAGGCACTGGTAATTTTAAGAGAATCCATTTCGAGGTCTTCAGTTTAAGGACTCTTGTAAAACTTATCTGCAGTAGAAGGACCTTGTCTTTCTCCCTATTAGAGAAGAAAAGACCACCTCTGACTCAATGTTAATATTACTATGATACAGTGTTCTGGAAAGTGAAAAAACTTCAGGGTGCCAAATAAAGAAACATTTTGAAATGCTGGTGTTTTAATCAATTTTGCCTTACTAAATCAAGACAATATAAGTCCAAGGGGGGAGGGTGTCTCATGTTGCTCCCATCTTGGCCATGTTTCTGTAGAGGTAGAAACGTGGCAGTAGAAACAGATGTATTGTAGAGTTGGCATGGCAGGAGAGGCAGCAGCTTCTATTTAATAAATATTACCTCCTCTACTTCCTGTCTATTGGCAAAGACACCATCTCTCCCAAGGCAGCCAGAAAGAGCAAAGAGAGTGTGGGTAAGAGGCACTTTGCTTCTTCCCAGTAACAAGTTTGTGCCAGGGTTCAGTGGCTGACTTAGAATATTCAAGCTCCATAAAGCATGCCAGGCAAGACTATACATGACAGGGGCCCACTGCATTTTCATCTTCTCTGCTAAAAACAAAAACGAACCTTCGTGAGCATTTTCATTCATCCGTGTCTTGGTCTGAGTCTCAGCTGCATATTTCTTTTTTTTTTTTTAATGTTTTATTTATTTCTGAGAGAGAGAGAGAGAGACAGCGTGAGCAGGGGAGGGTCAGAGAGAGAGGGAGACACAGAATTGGAAACAGGCTCCAGGCTTTGAGCTGGCTGTCAGCACAGAGCCTGATGTGGGGCTTGAACCCACGAACCATGATATCATGACCTGAGCTGAAGTCAGACACTTAACTAACTCAGCTTCCCACATGCCCCGACAGCTGCATATTTTGAATAATGATGAGGAAGGATGTTAACAACTTCCACTTGATGGTTACAGTGACCTTCAGCCTCTCGGTGGAGAGGCTGATATGCTCCTCTGGCTCCTTTCCCTGCTTCATTCAAAGTTGTTTATAACCTACACCCAGCATGGGATGGCAGGGTCTAGGCTTTAAGACCATGATGCTCCCAAGTGGTGCCATAGTCTGCTAACGTTGATAGAAACATTATCAGTAGAAACATTATCAGTGTAAGAGTGACCATCTCTTCCTCTCTGAATGTTGTCATACTCTTTCTGGTGCTCTGAAATGGAAGTCACTGGAAATTCTTAAAATGAAAAGAACAGTGGACATTCAGAGTTAACCCTTGTTCAAATTAAGGGCTCTATCCCCATTGCCCACTGCCCTTCTTCTGCCTGCGTTTGGCACTACATTCTCTCTGCCCAAAAACCTTGACTGTTCCTTAACTTTCTAGGTGCCCTTCCCTGTCTCTCTGCCTATCCAAACATCTTCCTTCCTGAAAGGACCAGACCAAATGCCATTTCCTCACAAACTTCTCATTGATTCTTCTAATCCCCATCTGCTCTTTCTTTTCTCTTTGCTTCTAATGTATGTACCACTCCTTTGGCATGTCAAGCCAATTCCCCTCAAATTTATTAAGTTTGTACTGTGAACCTGGAACTGCTTCAAACAATGGAGATGCAAAGAGGAACAGAATGGGAGAAATAAGAACAAGGTAGAGAGACCCTAAGCAAAAGAATCAAGCGATAGCAGAGAAAAGGACCAGAGCAATCAGCTGAATAGGGACTTGCAGAATAGGAGTCCCACACCTCCTCCAAAGCAGTAGTTCACTTCTGTAAGTCACGATTTCTCACCCTTGGACTGGGGGATCCATCCACCAGTAGATTTTGAAACTTTCTTTGGTTCACTTCTTACTAGATGGCTGTTAGCCTCTCTGCCTCTCCCAATCCTGTTGGGATTTCCCTCCCACAGAGACAGAAGCTCAATGGCCGGCTGAATTCCCATGACCCCCTCCTAAGGTTTGCAGTGGGCCACTGTTTCTCCTAATAGACTCACTGCTCACTGGGCTGCCTCTCAGAGAGTAAAAATACAGCCTCCAGGAAATGGAAAGTAGCCACTCCTGTGGTGAAGCCTGGGGTAGAGAATCTAAAGAGTGAAACCAATGACTTCACAATGGCAGCCGGTTTAGGCAGGTTTCCTAGTGGTGTCAGGCCACTAGAGAGTCCCTCAACCTGCCCCTGTGGCCACCAGAGAAATCAGTCCAAAGCTGAAGGGATTTAGTCTGAGAGCACTGTTAAAGCTCGTCACTCCAGGTGCCTCGGTGGCTCAGTTAGTTAAGTGTCTGGGTGACTCAGTCAGATAAGCGTCCAACTTCGGCTCAGGTCATAATCTCACGGTTTATGGGTTTGAGCCCCGTATGGGCTCTGTGCAGAAAGTTCAGAGCCTGGAGCCTGCTTCAGATTCTGTGTCTCCCTCTCTCTGCCCCTCCTCTGCTTGCTCTCTCCCCCCCCTCTTTCTTTTTTTTCTCTCTCTCTCAAAAATGAATAAGCATTAAAAAATGTTAAAAAGCTCTTCATCAAATCATGCCTTTATGGTGGGTACTTGCTTTTCTGCAGAGGCTTCAAATCCTCAAATTTATTCTCATATTCAAATAGCAGCTAAATGTCTATGCAAGGTGTGCTTTAAATGGTGCGGTTTCTGGGAAGACCTGCTGAGAGATAAATTCCCCTTTCTAATCAAGCCATGCAATTTCTCTTTAATTTTATGAATAGAATTCAACTACTACTCCCCATCTGCCTTTTTGAAATCTGGTGACCATGACATTTTGTTTCGACCTTTTGGTTTTCCCCTTCTGTTTATATTACATTGTAAATAAGAAACAAATGGCAACCGTTACTTCACTTTTCAGAAAAATATTCAAGGAAGAAAGAGGAGACTGGGGAGGAAGGGAAGGAGAGGAGGAGAAGGAAGAGGAAGGAGGAGGAAAGTAGAGGGTAATTACTCCATTTTAGGGGTACATAAGTAGCTTAGAGGATTTAAACTGTAAATAACACACTACTGTTAAATCTTTAATTCACATGACCTTGAATTCATTGAGGCTTACTTTCAAAGCACCAAGATCATTTCTAGTTTCTCTTTCTCTTCCTTGGTGGTTGGCTCCTTTCTATGTTTCTCAGGAGATAAGGAAAGGAAAATGAAATAGAAAACTGAAAAGAGTGACTTTTGTAAATTTGTTAACATCTCTGGTGGACAGTGTGGGTAGGGGAGGGTCAGCCAACGGCTGTGGTAGCTCTTAATTCCCCCGAATCC